CCCCAATGAGATGGGTTGGTGGAGTGGCAGCATCAATGGGCTCAAGTGTGGCATCAATAGTGAGGTTGGCTCAGGATTGGGCAGTGTTTCGTTCTGCTTTGCATAAGGTCACTTTGAGTTAGTACTGACTCAGTGGTACCTAACAACAACAATAATGGCTAGTGATTGTGAGCATATCTCCTGAGTGTCTTCTTTGGTCTCTGTTCACATCCTCTGACCATTTTTCAATTGGATTATGTATCTTCTTCTTACTGAGGTGTGTAGTGTTCTATATATTTTAGACAGTAATCCTTTGGGGTTTTCTTATCTGTAATCTATACAGAAACAGAATGTCATTGGGTGGGTTCAAATCACCAAGCTTTTGGTTAGCAACACCATATGGGCTCCTTCCCAGGAAGTTGCTATTGTTAGGTGCCATCAAGATGGTTTCGACTCATACTGACCCTGTTACAGTGTTTCCAAGCAGCAGCTGGTGGGTTTGAACTGCCGGCTTTGTGGTTCGCAGTCCAGTGCTGATCTTTCAGCACCATGTGTTGTTGTTGTTAAGTGCCATTGAGTCGGTTCTGACCCACAGCGACCCTCTATGGGGTTTCCGAGGAGTGACTGGTGAACTTGAACTACCAACCTCGCAGTTCAAACCAACCTCCTAGTCCAGTAGCACCACGGTAGCTGTTACTATTTCTATTTTATAGATCTGAAAGCCAAGTTCTACAAGGCTATGGACCACGCCCAAGAGTTGGTAGGTCCAATATTTGAATGCAGCTCTGCCTCCAAAAGTCTGTTCTCAGCTGTGATGCTCAACTGCCACAGCAGAGGCAGGAAATGCGCGGAAACCTCGGAGAGATCAGTAACCACGTGCCCAGGGTCTCCCTGAACCCAGCCACAGCCCAGCTTCTCTGGAATAGCCGCAGCTGCCTGTGGCTGGGACCGGTATGGTAGGAGCACGGGGGATTGCTCCAACCACAGCCAGTAGGAAAGCGAATCTGGCTAGGGCTACTCTCATAGCTCCTAAAAGCTGAAGTTTACCAGGGCGTGGCTTCAAAAAAAGAAATTGAGTTCCTCGCAGTCCTGAAAGCTAAGAGTCCAAATTAGGGTCTGGGTCATATCAATTCTTTTCTTCTCTAGCTTTAGATGTTCCTCGGTTCCTGGTGACTCTCACATGGCATCTGCCTGCCCTTGTGTGCACATGTTTGTGTCTTGCGTCGAATCTGTTCTTTCTTATAACTCAGAAGTCATTCGATTTAGAACCTACTCTATGTAGGTCAGGAGTCCTGGTGTGGTGCTGTAGGATAAGCACTGGACTGCTAACTGCAAAACTCCTTGGAAACTATACAGGGTCTCTCTGAGTTGGAACTGACTCAATGGCACTTAACAACTATATAATCTGACTTAATTAACATGACCAAGAACACTACTTCCAATCAGGAGTACCTCCACACGTATAGGGGGGAGGAGGAGTTCAACACATATTTGGGGCAACACAGTTCAATCTTCTTTAAAGTATTCAAGCGCTAAGATGTCAATTCAAGGACTAAGGTGCACCTGACCCAAGCCGCGGTGGTATTGTCAGTAACCCCATATGCATGTGAAAATTGGACAATGAATAAGGAAGACTGTAGAAGAATTGATGAATTTGAGTTATGGTGTTGGAGGAGAATATTGAAAGTACCATGGACTGCTGGAAGAACAAACAAATCTGTGTTGAAAGTACAGCCAGAAAAGTCCTTAGAAGCCAGAATGGTGAGACTTCATCCCTCATACTTTGAACATAAAGTGGAGGATCAGCCTAAAAAGAGGAAGGCCCCAGTGAGATGGATTGTCGCGGTGACAGCAGTGGGAGGCCAGCACAGGACTGGGCAGTGTGGTGTTCTGTTGTGCAGAGTGTCACTATGAGTCGGCACCGACTCGATGGCACCTAACGGCAACACAATTCAATCCATACAAATGATCAGTTAGAATTCTCTCCATGCGTAAGCAAAAGAATCCACTCTCATGGGTAATATCGTTGTTAAATGCCATCGAGTCAGCTCTGACTCATCACAACCCTCTGTAGGGTTTCCAAGGAGCTGCTGGTAGGTATAATGGTTGGTAGCAAACCCTTTCTCTAGAGCAGAGAGAAGGGAAATGAGTATGAGTAGTTTGGGTAGCATTGACATGCATCCGGTGGTTCAGTCCACAAAGCTGTATGAGCACCTACTATGTGCCAAACACAGGGCATACAACCGTGAGCAAAATGAGATCTAGTTCTTCACTCTGTGGAGCTAACAGTCTGATGACTCAAATGATCCCACAACAAATATGTCCTGTGGCCATGTCTGCCTCCACAGGCCAAATACCACCTCTGTTCAGCGGGCTGGCTGAAGTCTGGGCACGTGGCCTACCCCACAGCCTATGCCTCCCGAAAGTGTGGAGGTGGCGTTGTTGGGATTGTGGACTACGGAACGAGAAACAACAAGAGTGAAATGTGGGATGTCTTCTGCTACCGGATGAAAGGTAACAACACCAGCTAGATTTCAGGTCTGATGTCCAAGGGTGAGCAGGCGCAGCCCAGGCCCCACCTCACTGGGGACGGTACCCTTGTGCCTTCTGCCCTACAGACGTGAACTGTACCTGCAAGGTGGGCTACGTGGGAGATGGCTTCTCGTGTCACGGGAACCTGCTGCAGGTGCTGATGTCCTTCCCATCACTAACACACTTCCTGACGGTATGTACCAGGTGTCTTTGGTTTCTCCTAGGGCAAAGGTTGCATTGAAGCAGGTATTAGCTGGCAGCTACCTGAGGTGCAGTGATGGTTCCATGGTAGAATTCTCACCTTTCATGCAGAAGACCCCGGGTTCAATTCCTGCCCAATACGCTTCATGTACAGCCGCCACCCATCTGTCACAGTATGTTGTTATCAAGTGGAACAGGTTTCAGCAGCACTTCCAGACTAAGACTAGGAAGAAAAGCCTGGTAGCTTACTTGTGTGGGGGAAAAAATCAGCCAAAGAAAAACCTAAGGGTCACAATTATCCAATTCACAGCCAGTCACAGAGATGGTGCAGAACGTAACAGCTATGCGTTTCGGCTGTGCATGAAGTTGCCATGCATTGGGGGGGCAACTCTAACAGAGACTAATAACGTTAGAGGGACAACTCCTGGGAGGGAGACACAGGTCCATAGTAGCAGTTAAAAGCATGGGTGGGAAGCTTGGGTTGCCACCGTAAGCAAGTTACTTCCCCTCTCCAGGCCTCAGTTTCCTCATCCGTAAAATTGGAATGATAGCACTAGGCTTGTGGCATGGTCATGAGAAGTATATGAGGTCATATTCATAAAGTACTCAGACCAATGCCTGGCATTAAACAAACTATTTTCCTCTCAGCATCAGTTTTCTCATCTGTAAAACGGGAATTACAACTGCACTAACCTCACAGATTCCTTGCAATCATTAAATGTGTTGTTGTTGTTAAATACCGTGGAGTCAGTTCTGACTCATAATGACCCTGCACAGGGTTTCCGAGGCTGTAAATCTTTATGGGAGCAGAAAGCCTCATCTTTCTCCTCCAGAATGGCTGGTCATTTAGAACTGCCAACCTTGAGGTTAGCAGCCTGATTCGTAACCACCGCATCACTGCATAAGTACTGGTAAAATATTTGCACCTCTGGCCCACACATGGAACTTGCTCTCTGGTGTTAGTTTAGGTCATTTCCTCTACGTCTAGAGCAGTGTGAGAGCCTGGTCTATGGAATGGGATGCTCTCCTGTCAGGATGGACACAGTTAACTAAGTCTGCCAGGTGACCACCCATGGAGCCCAGGTACCCACATGGAGCCAGGGTCCATTTTGCTTTGTATTTAAAGTCATTTTAATGTCTTCCAGGAACCCTGGTGGCGCTGTAGGTTAGGTGTTTGACCACTTAGATCAGCTGTCTGCTTCCATAAAGATTTACAGTCTTAGAAATCCTATATTGGGTCGCTATATGTCAGAATCAACTCAATGGCAGTGGACTTGGTTTGGTTCTGAGGTTAATATCTTCTAAATTATGCACAATCAAGAGTTGCCCCTATTTGGAGATGGATTGGGTGTTAATTGAGCAATGCACTGAGCTACTAATAATTACAGTAGCAATCACTAGCATTTCCTGGGCATTCACTCTGTACTCTTTACAAACCCAACAGCAATGGTGAGGGTGGCACGGGACCAGGCAGTGTTTTATTCCATCGTGCACAGGGTCTCAGTGAGTCAGAACAGATTCGACAGCACCTAACAACACAAATCCATTTCATTCAGCCCACAGAATGTAAGCCTGGCACATAGTTGTTGTTGTTGTTGTTATGTGCTGTAGAGTCGGTTCCGACCCATAGCGACCCTATACAGGGTTTCTGAGGCGGTGAATCTTTACGGGAGCAGAAAGCCTCATCTTTCTCCCGCGGAACAGCTGGCAGTTTCGAACTGCTGTCCCTGAGGTTCACAGCCCGATTCGTAACCACTACACTACCAGAGCTCCTTAAATACTTGCTTAAAGGAAAAAAATCCTCACATGCCTTATGAGGTTCATTTCTGCTATTATCCCCATTTTGCAGAGTAGCAAACTGAGGCTTAGCAGGGTCAAGTCTACAGCCTAATAACCTGGAGCTGAGCTTCCACTCAGGCTGGGCCCCCCCATCCATTATGGTGCAGAACAAAGGGGCAGCCAGCGTCTGAGCCCGTATTCCAATCAGATCCGGACTATCCTCACCTCAGGAGGGGAGGGTGCTTGGCATGAGTATAGGGCATGCAGGATCAAGGCAGAAATCAGACCAAAATGACCCCAAATGATGAGTCTCAGTCCACAGCCTGAAGTATCCATCTAACCATCTACCTCATTGTAACTGTGAAGATGGTAAAGATAAACACCCACATCAACATTTCTGCTGCACGGGAGCTTGACAGGTAATGACATTTCAGAAAAAAGACCATGCCACCACAAAGCCTGTCTGCAAAATGACAAAACCTTAAATTAGGCAAGTATTTACTGGACACTTACAATGTACCTGAGATACTTCAGTGAACAAATGGACAAACAGTAAGCAGAACACACAAGTAAATGGTAGACTCCTAACCAGTTACTATGGATTCGACTGCATCTCATGGTGAGCTCACATGTGTCAGAGTCCGGCTGGCTCCATAGGGTTTTCAATGGCTGATGTTTTCAGAATTCGATCATCAAGCCTTTCTTTCGAGTCATCTCTGGGTGGACTTGAACTTCTAACTTCACCCAGTGAGCAGCTGAGTGCATTAACTGTTTGCATCACCCAGCACAGATTGAATAATATGAGAAAATAAAAAGTAAATGGAGATGGGGTGGGGTGAGAGGGGTGGGGCGCCATGGAGTTCCAGTTTTGCCAAGTCTCAATGGAAGGCCTTCAGAAGATGATGTGAACAGAGGTGTGGAAGTTAGTCATGTAGATTTGGAAGAACATTCTTGGTGGAAGGAACTGCAGGGAAAAGTACGTAAAGCAAGAACATCTCAAACAAATTTGAGGCACAGCAAGGAAGCCAGTGTGTCTGGAACAGAGCAAGACAGAGAGGGAGGACAGGTGCATGTGTGGTCAGAGGAGCAGCAGTGGCAGATAGTTTGGGGCCCTGGGTCATCGTAGGAACTTTCTTTTTGCTGTAACTTTAATGAAGACTTTATGAGTCTGGAGAAAAGGAGACTCAACATTTGAGTCATGTTTCAAAGGGCCAGCCCTGCTGCTATGCTGAGAATAGTCTGTGACGTGGTTCTGACTTAGGACTTGGGATCAGTTGAGAAAAAGAAAGGGCCTCCTTAAAACTCACCCCAGGGACAATGAGAAGAATAGTCTCAGATGGGTGACAGCCTGCTATGCCTGCATCCATCCCAGGCCAGGCCACACACTCCAGGCTCCAGAACCTGCTGATCACTGCCTTCCTCTCCCCAGAAAGTGCTGGCCTATTCCAACAGCTCGGCCAGGGGCCAGGCGTTTCTGAAACACCTAACTGACCTGTCCATCCGCGGCACCCTCTTTGTGCCCCAGAACGGTGGGCTGGAGGAAAACGAGGTGAGTGGAGTCCCTGGTGCATCTCAGTCCAGGTCTGAGTTCCTTTACTGACCACACAGTGCCTCTCCTCACTGGTATCAATGATCTACACCTATAATAACACTATCACAAGTCACCGCGAAACTCAGCGGGCATGCATCCACAGGTAAGCCGGGATGTTTTGAGATCGGCAGTCCGGCTGCTGACCTAGGCTGGTCTCAGCTGGGGCACTGCTCCACCTGGCTGGCTCAGTAGGCTGGCCTGGGCATGTCGTCTAGTCGTGATGGCAGCAGCAAGAATGGGGAGAGTGAGCCCAGTCCCACCAGTGCTCTTCAAGCCTGTTTGGTCATATTTGTTAACATATTGCTGGCCTAACGGGTCCTGTGGCCAGGCAGACAGTCAAAGTGGGAGACCCTCAGAGTTACATGCAAACTCTGGACAAGGATACAGGAAGAAGGAAAAACCAGGGTCCTTGATGGGCTTCACCAGAGGTGCACAGAGGAGTTAGGAATATTTATTTAATGCATCCACAGGTGGTAGGCTATACAGTCTGTGGTGCTGTAGGATAAGCACAGACTGCTAACCACAAGGCTGGTGTTTAAACTCCTTGGAAACCCTATACAGAGTTGCTATGAGACGAAATTGATTCAATGGCACTTAGCAACACCAGGTGGCAGACCCAGGCCCTGCCCCGCCACTGGAGGACTGGGAGGAGCAATATCTTTGCCCATCTGTTGTCCACTCGCTTTGGTTTCTTAGTGCTACTATAACCATATAAATGGGTGGCTTTATAAACAAGCAGGCTTTCTCACAGCTAAAGAGGCGATCACTGTGTGCCCTCTTTGAGGTAGAATTCTTGTCTCAGCTTCTCCAGCGTTCTCCTCAGAGTTCCTTGGAGAGCTCAAGGTTTTAATCTCTCTTTCTCCCTTTTGTGCTTGATTCTCTTGGGGCCTGATTTGCTTTTTGTACCTTATGAGTGAGGAGGTTTCAGACACAGCCTACACTGATGTTAATTTTATGTTAATGAACATAACAAAGCAAACCTGTTGTCTGATGGTATTCTGTCTACAGCTAGAGGAATTAGGAGTCCACCACACACTCAATCCATAGCATGACATGCAAGGCCTACTCTTTCCAGCACAACACAGGGAAGCTCTGCTTCGAACAAAAGACATGACTTTCAATGCCACATCCTAGCATCCAAGAGCCTGGGCAAAGCTTGATCCATCTTGGTTTTCCCATGGAGGCAGAAAAGCCAGACCTGTGACGAGTGATGGTTTTCCTAACTATGGCATATCCTTACGGTACAAAAGAAACAAATATATATTGTTTGGCTTTCATAGACCATTCTTTTGTTTCATCTTTCCTGTCAGACCCTGTCTGGGCGGGACATCGAGCATCACCTCACCAACGTCAGCCTCATTTTTTACGATGATCTCATTAATGGTACCATCCTGGGAACCAAGCTGGGAAGTCAGCTACTTATCACCTCCAGCCAGGACCAGCTCCATATGGTATTACAAGTCTTCTAAAGTTTGTTGGAGAGCTAAACGAGTACATGCAAAGCTCCTGGTATACAGTAGGTGCTTAATAGCCAGCATACTATAATGTTAAAGTTAACTCTCATCTTGCAGTTAAGGGAGGTATTAGCTGCACATCATAGTGTGCTGATGGTTGGGCAGTCCCTACTCTATGGGAAATAGTCATGTGGGCCTGTGCCAACCTCAGAAGCTGGTCATGAGGAATGATAAATGAAGCCACTTCAAAAGCCATCTGCTTCCCCACTTTTATGGCTATCAAGTGATTATTGATGTAGGCCAGGCATTAGCCTGGGAGCTTTGGAGTCAAATGACCTGGATTTGGACCTGTGGGCTCTGAGACAAGTTGTCCAACCTCTCCATGCCTCAGTTTCCTCAATTGAAGCAGTATTGATATTGTTGTGGTGATGATGATGATGATGGTGATGGTGGTGATCATGGTGACCATCAGTCCAAATCGCCGGCTGTTGACACTCAGTGAGTAAGGCTTTAGGGGTTCTTAGAATAATGCCTGCCATGAGGCATGTGCTCAGTATTACTTTTTTCACCTCTATTTGATAGACGATTTCTATTCTTGAAGATCCATTGTTTAAACCAGTGCTTCTCAAATTTGAACATGCACTTGAACAACCTGGGGATCACATTAAATTGTGAACTGTGACTAGGAGGGTGGTGTGTGGGGACTCTAATGAACACCACACTTTGAGTAGTATGGATCCGATCACTCCAAACTGCCCTTTAATTAACAGTGTGGTTTGATGCCCAGAGCAGTGGATCTGGGGTCATAGTGTGGAGTTTACCACTTACCACCTGAGTCATCTTGGGGCCTCTGATAGCTAGCTGTCAGACTGCTTGGTTAGACCACATGACCCCTGAGTTCCTTGTGGTTCCTTAGGTTTTGAGATAGATAATCCTGAGTTCTCAGCTTTACTCATGAGCTTTTTGGCACATGGGCACTGATGTGTTCTGGGCTGTGCAGGCAAAGAGCAGCATTATAGAGCCAACTTCAGTGAAGATAAGCCAGAAACCTTGGCTCCAAGGTCTTCGAGAAGCTGAACAACTTCTCCATGGAAGGTCTGCTCACTTGGGGAGGGGAAAATCAGATGGCCTCAGGTGTCTGTGTTCTCATTTCTCCAGAAGGAGACCAGATTTGTCAATGGAAGAGCCATCCTGCAGTGGGACATCTTTGCCTCCAATGGGATCATTCATGTCATTTCTGGGCCTCTAAAAGCACCCCCCGCCCCAGTGGTGAGTATCCAGGGATCCTGATGAGAGACCAAGAGAAACCCCAGTGTTCACTCCCAAGTAGCACACATGCTATAATCCCCCATCTGTCACCTTCCTCCTCCAGAGACAGGAGAGGCCTCCTGCATTCAGAACAGCTGGCTTCAGTGATGCCCAGCCCTGGTCCATCTCAGCCCCGCTCGGTGCAGCCAGGAACGCAGCATCTATCACTGTACATAGCTGTCAAATGAAAGAGGCAGAACATGCCAATAGAAAGACACTAGATAGGGTTATTTTTTATCTCAACTGAGGTGGGCTCCACAAGTGCACCTCTTGGAGAGTCACCCCATTGTAAGTACTAACCCTTCCTCCCCTTCTGTGTGCAGACCTCGGCCCACACTGGCTTGGGAACAGGGATATTCTTTGCCATCATCCTGGTCCTGGGAGCCATTGCTTTTGCTGCATATGCTTATTTCCGGCTGAACCGGAGAACAATTGGCTTCCAGCACTTTGAGGTAAGAGAGAGACAAATGGGGGCACCGTGATGAGGTCCTCTCCGAAGTCCCTGGCTCTGGGCAGAAGCTGCTGGCACTTCTTGCCATGCACTTCCTGCCACCTGCCATGCACTTCCTGCCTTCTGGGAGGGGGTCTCTACTCACAAAAGCAGCAGCTGTGGTGAGGAGAGTGGTGGGCTCTGGACCTCTATGTCTGGGATTGGCTTGCTTGCCAGGAGTTGCCCTGATTTGGAGGACTCACTAGATAAGCACCTACCAACACTGGCTTGGGATTCAAACCTGACACTGAGGGTTGGGGGACTGGCAAGCAGATCTAGACAGCAGAGACCCTCATTCTGCAGCCAGCAAAGCATGGTTGGCCTGTTTGAATGGTTGGGTCCACATTTGGGGTCAGCAGAGTCCCTAAGCAGCAAAGCGGTGGCACGGCCTCCCTTACGCACTTGGTCTCCTGGTCAGCCACCCCTCCTGCTGCTACCTCCTCCACATCTCAATGGAGCCCCCAAGGGACAGTTCACTCACTCCCTACTTCCCAGTGGGAAAGGTCCAGGGGTGGTTCCCACAGATGTGCACATGTGGATGATTCCCTCTGAATTCAGTTCAACCCCTCCAGAGAGGCAGAAGTCAGAACCATGGGTGTGCCTTGGGAGGGAGGAGGGATTGGCAGGCCACGAGAAGCGCTGCATTTGCTATTGCTGGGTGCCGTGACGTCGAGTCTGACTCGTATGACCTACAGAACAGAAGAAATGCTTTTTGTAGGGTTTCTGAGACTAATGTTCACTGGAGCAGACAGCTTCATCTTGCTTCCAAGGAGCAAATGGTGGGTTTAAATGGATCCTACAGTTAGCAGGCTGACAGTTCACACACACCACACCACCAGAAAACAGAGCGTTGCTTGCTCACCTCCCAATACAGACATACGCCTACCTTAGAGACAGTCCTGGCTCTTGGCCCTCATTCTTGTTTTTCTCAACAGTCAGAAGAGGATATCAATGTTGCGGCTTTTGGTAAAGAGGAGCCCGAGAATATCTCCAATCCCTTATACGAGAGCACCACTTCGGCTCCCCCAGAACCTTCCTACGACCCCTTCGCAGTGAGTCTCCATTTTTAACTAGGGGCAGGGGGGGCTGGGGTCCAGAGGAACCACATCTTTCAACAAATGTTAGTGGAAAGCTTTTGCACCAAGGAAACCTCACTTCTGGAATGTGTTTCAGGACAGCTCTAAAAGCTAGTGTTGCCAGTTGACGGCAGCCTGTTGTTCAGGGTTCCCAAGTTCTTTCTGGTAGATGGCAGAGTATTATTGTCAGTTGCCATATATCCTGGAGACTTGATGTGTATATTAGCGGAACGATAATTAATGAGGAGCCAACCATCCCTTCCACAACTCTGTCTTCTCTGTGGGGTTCAATAATTCATTGCAATGCTGTTGGAAAAATGGCACCCCAAACCTTCCAACGCACAAATAGCCATGAAGCGCAACAAAGTGAAATGCAAGAAAACAAGACACTAGAACTCAGACACCACATTCAGTCATGGGCTTTATTAGGGAAGTGACCAGGTTACAAGTCAGGGCACAGCTATTCCAGTCAGCACAGCCTCTCCTCAGCTGTGCCCTCGGACAGGCCTCTCTCTGCCTGGCTAGTGTTACAGAGCTCTTCTAGGGCTGCTGACACCTGCCCACAGCACACACCACTCCACCAGAACCCTCAACCTAAAAGCGCTGGGCTCTAGCTCCAAGGGTCAGCAGACCTAGCCCCACCCCCCAATTAAGTGCTTGGAGGTTCCCCACGTCACTCACTTGACTGGCTCTGTCTTGTGCTCACGGTCTCCGTTCTGCTTCAGTTCCACTCATAGATTTCTCTCCTTGGGTAGAGGAGCTTCAATGTGTAGGGATCTCTGGGTCCAAAAATGCACCCCCCCCCCCAGGCTCCTCTTCTCCAACGGTAATGAGATGCCCCTCCTGCTTCTGAGACAGCCCATTTTATACTCACGTTAGCATTCCAAGTGTTTACAATCACAATGAACTCTGTTTAACCACTCACAAGTAAAGCATATTAATCCTACCAGTATCTTCTACCTTCTCGCACCCAGACCTAGCAAGGCAAAAGATGTTGTTTGATGGGAGTTACACAGACTATGGGTAGAAGAGCCGTGTGAAGTAAGTCACTGCTCCCCAGAAACATTGCCCATTCCTGTTCCATGTCCATGAGGATTGGAGTGCGCACGTCAGAACCCACTGCTGCCGTGGCTGTTGTCCAACCTACTGGGCTCATCTGTCAGCACTGTATCAGATGGGATCTGTTGGGATCTATGAGATTTTACTTGCCTGATTTGGGGAAGTAGAGTTTTCTTCTACTCTGTCTTAGTCTGAAAGTTCTGCAGAGACCTGCCCACCACAGATGACCTTACGGGTACAGGCATAGCTCATATTCTTGCATTTCACATATAATTACATTTCTTACCAATGGAAGGTTTATGGCACCATTATTTCAACGGCATGTGCCCACTTCTGTGTCACATTTGGTAATTCTCACAATATTTCATACTCTTTCATAATGCTATTACATATTTAATAGACTATGTTGTTATTGTTGTTATGTGCTGTGGAGTCAATTCCAACTCACAGTGACCCTGTACAGGGTTTTCAAGGAGAGGCTGATGAGCTTGAACTGCCGATCTTGCGCTTCAAACCGGTTTTGCAGGCCAGTGCATTAACCCACAGCACCACACCAGGACTCACTTGTTATTAGGTACCATCAAGTCGGCACCAACTCATAGTGACTCTATGCACAGCAGAACAAAACACTGCCTGGTCCTGGGCCAACCTCACTACTGTTGCCACGCTTGAGGTGCTGTCACTTGGCCATTCCATCTCACTGGATGGTCTTCCTCTTTTTCTCTGCCCCCCACCTAACCAAACGTGATATCCTTCTCCAGTGACTGGTCCCTCCTGACAATATGTCCAAAGTATGAAAGATGAAGTTTGGTCATCCTGGTCTCCAAGGAGCACTCTGGCTGCACTTCTTCCAACACAGATCTGTTGGTTCTTTTGGCAGCCCATGGCACTTTCAATATTCTCCTCCAACACCACAACTCAAAGGCATCAATTCTTCTATGGTCTCACTAGACTACAGCATAGTGTAAACATAACTTTCATATGTACTAGAAACCAAAACATTAATGTGATTAGCTTTATTGTGGTATTCACTTACTGATGATGATCACTTTTGATGAAGACCAAAGACCACAGTCTTCAATGGGAGCATTCCCACAGTATTCCTGAGGTATAACTGTATTTGAAATACTGCAGGCACAGCTTTCAGTATCATAGCAACACACAGGCTACCACACTGTCGGAGAGGTGGGGGAGATGCTAGATGCCTCCCATAATTAGAGGTAGGGGAGAGCTCTAGGCCATCCTACCCAGACCTCGTGACCAGAGAGATGCCACAATAAAAGCAAATCTCAGACTGAATTCTACCAAAAATTCTCATAACATTTAAGAGGTTGTTGTTGTTGTTAAGTGCTGTTGATTTGGTTCCAACTCATAGTGTACAATTTCAGAGAAGCTGTCAACTTTTGTTGTTATCAGTCCAGTGCTTATCCTCTAGTACCACATCAGGACCCTATTTATGAGGTTGTTGTTATGTGCTGTGGAGTTGGTTCCGACCCATAGCGACCCTGAACAGGGTTTCCAAGGCTGTAAATCTTTACGGGAGCAGAAAGCCTCATCTTTCTCCTGAGGAGCAGCTGGTAGTTTTGAACTGCTGACCCTGAGGTTAGAAGCCTGATTCATAACCACTACGCTACCAGAGCTCCTTATTTATGAGGTGGCGGGAGGCAAATAAGACCTACAGAAAGGTTTTTTCTTCTAGCTGTCCTTTTAACTAATATAAGCGGGCTTCAGAATGTTCAGGGAAATTGTTAATGAAAAGATAACGGATTTTTTTTCTACAAACTTTTTAAAGCCTCTTCATATTCACATTGTTGTCCAAGGTTCTTATCAGGCTTGCCTCTTCCCTTTAGGGTTCGTTGTCTTTGATGAAGCCTTTTATATCTATGGATGAGTGTGTTGCTCTAGTCCTTCCAAAAAGCAGAACTCCTTTCCCTGGAATTCACTCCACCTCACGGTGGGTGACGCCATGTGTATAGAAGTAGACCTGAGCTCTGTAGGACTCGCAATGGCTGATTTTCCAGATGTAGAACATCAGGCCTTTTGTGGTTCCTCTGGGTGCACTTTTTGGTTAGCAGCTGACTGCATTAAGAAGGGGGTTTGTATTTTGAGAGCTAGTGGTCCCTGAGCTTCAATGGGGCCTCTGCTGACAACTTCAACCCAAATGGATCCCTTGGGTTGGCAGGTACTCTATACACAAATGTGTACACTGCTTCTAGCTTTTACTAGTTCTAACAATCAACTTTTTTCCTTTCATACAAAACCCAGGAAAAATGGCAGCCAGTTCCTCTCAGCAGGCTGTGCAGACAGCATTGGCTCAGTTCTAAGGAAATCATTGAATCTTGTCTTTTGTTGGGGCTATATAACTTACACAATCTTAACTGATGTCACAGAGCTGCTATTTTTCATATGTACATAGCTCTTCCAACACCCACACACACACTCCCAAGACCATACTGCGGTTACTGAAGTATTTTCAAAATGGCACAGAAACATTACAAGAATGTTAGTTCTCAGAAGAAAACCAAACATAATTATCTTACAGCTCTAGGGACCTATGGTAGGTAACAGATGTAAGGTATTTGTAAATGACTGAAAATCATTGGATCACAAATCCCATTTTGTATTGTAATCTAACTTAGGTAAAAGTTTCTGGTCTAGATTGCACTTATTAGTTGGAGTTTCTGTCTGCAAGCATTGTTATAGTAAAACCAACCTCAATAAAAAAAAAAGGAGTAGGGAACAGTCATACCTTCTGTTCAGTGGGCTCCATGCCTCCAGCCTCAACTGTCTGTCTTCTTCTAAGGCGAGGGCAAGGAAGGAACCCTTTTTCCTGCCACAATTTATAATATCATTTGCAGACCATACAAAAAATATCAACTTGAAACTTAGCCTGCTATATTTGGTCAAACATTTAATTAGCTGGACTCCTGGTGTGACACTATAGGATAAGCACTGGACTGTGAACCACAAGGTCATTGGTTCAAACCCACCAACTGCTTCAAAACCCTATGTGGGATCATTAGGAGTGCGAAGCAATTTGATGGCACTTAACAACAACAAATGTGATGGCTGAAACTGTCCTGAGGGTTTCATCAGTACATTGCCTAACTAATTCACCAGAGGCAGGTGAGATGGTATCTGACAAGCAGAATTCAGCTGAATTTTCTACTAAAACCAGGTGACAAAAAAATTTAGTTAACAGGAGTCCTAAGCCTAGGGTGCCAACACTCACCCTTTTCTTATTGAAAAGGCAGTGGGGGCACCTTATACAAAAACCAACTCAGCATGGATTAAGGACCTAAATGTGAATCCCAGAATTATGAAGGCCATCATTGAAAAAATAGGGACAAATGTGAGGGCACTAATTCAGGGAATACACAGGGACAAATGTGAGGGCACTAATTCAGGGAATACACAGACTACAAAACATTTTGAAAACCACACAAACAAAAGTAGACAAAATAGATGAGTGGGACATACTAAAAATTAATAACTTATGTGCATAAAAAGATTTCACCAGAAGAATAAATAGGGAACCCACAGAATGGGAAAAAAATCTTTCGCAATTACACATCAGATAAGGGACTCATTTCTAAAATATGTAGGAAATTACAACACCTCTACAAGAAAATGACAAATAACCCTATTAAAAAATGGGCACAGGACATGAACAGACACTTCACAAAGAAAAAGATCAGGGCAGCCAACAAACATGAAGAAATGCTCACGATCACTAGCCATTAAAGAAATGCAAATCAAAATGACAATGAGATATCATCTCACACCAACAATAACAGCAAAGATGAAAAAAGTAGAAGACGATAAATGCTGGTGGGGATGTGGAGAGACTGGGACACTCCTGCATTGCTGGTGGGACTGCAAAATGGTCCAGCCTCTCTGGAAAGCAATATGGTGTT